CTTGGAGAATTTTTGAGAAAAATATATGATTAAAAAAATTTTTTAAATTAAATCTAAAGTAATAATTGAATGAATTTGTTTTATCTGTTATCATTAAAAGTCAAGCTTTACTTTTATTAATTTTATTGATGTGAAAAAAAAGGATGTTGTTTTTATAAGACAAGTGCGCAAGACAAGTATTACTGATGAGTGATCTTTAGAATATTCCTTTTAGAATATTTAATCTTTAGAATATTTCTTTTTATTGTTGACATACATCTCAATGACACAAAATGATACGTGATCGAAAGTTTTTAATGACTTACTCAATATCATTAGTTTTTTGCAATTAAAAGAGGTCTACGTCAAATGAAATGCCTAAAATTTAATGTATCTAAGCCAGGTATTTTTTTTCAGGTACATGAGGCTAGTTGCAAAGGAATCAAAACTGTAATTGGTGCACTAGAAAACGAAAAATATCACTTACATCGATCGCAAGACTCGGTAATATTTAATGTACGAGCATTGGGTAAATCCAATCGAGCCTCAATGACGAATCTATGGGAACGCCGATGTCCACAAATAATGAAAAAAAGGGCGCGATACATTCGATGGTCAATTTTACAAGGAATACGGGAATTACGTATGAAAAACGCGCAACCCTCTTCCCACGCTGTATACAGTTCGCCCTGTGTAGAGTCTCAGGCCTCCTGTACGTTGCGCAATGGACCAACGAGACCTGTGCGACATTTACCTGCGTATATTAGGGGATGCTAACCGAAAAGCATAACCGAAGGTGAATTTATTGATCTCTGATTGATGCGTGAAATTTCTGATAGAAGGTGATATTTCATTTGGGATTACAGGCAATCCCCGCTATTCGCGGTTAATTCGTTCCCGAAAAACACCGCGAATACCGAAACCGCGAATACCGAAACAGAAAAAAGCAGCATTATGGCAATTTTTTTCCTTCTCTTATTAGCTCCAAAATCTTGAGCTTTTGACCTAAATCCATCACAGCTTTATTTCTTTTTGAGCAATTATCTTTATTTTTATTTGTGGGAGCCATTTTTCAAATATTTATTTATAAAATATACTATTATAAAAATTATTTCTAAAAAACCGTGAAATAAACCGCGAATAAGCGAATCCGACTCCCGCGAATAGTGAAACAATGGCTCAATTAAAGAACCGCGAATAAGCGAAACCGCGAATACTAAGTACCGCGAATAGCGGGGATTGCCTGTATACTCATGACTATACCCTGGGATTTGAAAAATTACTCAACTTATATTTTACAAAATATTTAAAAAATCGTTCAGTAACTTTTACTAAAGCCCAAAATGTGAACATTTTAGTTATTTGGCATGCAAAATTAAAACTTTTCAGGGTAAACTAGGGTTATACTTGGTAGTGAGGAGTTTCGTCTACCAATTTGAGAATTTTGAATACTAAAATGGAAAATCTTGTATACTAGATACCTAACTAGCCAGACCTATATATTTGTCCCATTTACAAAAATAAAGAACAGGTTGTAATTATCAACTTACGTCATTATTGAATCATTGAACTAATAATTAAAAAAAATATTAAACAATTATTTATTAAAAATTGTTTTTATTTATTTATATGTTAATGAAAATATAAATATGAATATTTGTTAATTTTGTAATTATATTATTTATAATCGAACAATAATCATTTTTGAAAAACTCGGACGAGGATTGAAATACATCTCAAAAGTGTGGATGCACAAAAAATCCAAATCTAAACTACACTGTCAAATAAGATAAGTGGGGAACGGAAGTTTTCTCACGATACGTTCATAAAGTGTTCTCAATGAAACATATGCGGTCACTTTCAGCCACATCACGCAACACAACGTAACCCTTCTTCATTTCTGTCCTCGATGCGTATACATAGCATGGCAGGTATATATCACACGCGAATAAAAGCCAATCCATCCTTTACCTCTCACTCCCCATCCAACAAAACTGAGCAGTAGCACACTTATGTGTATAATTCGGGTAGGAGATTTGGCTCGCGCGGTGAAATTTTGCGTGAAAAGACTTGGCTCGATTACGTTACGCATTAATGAACATGTCATTTGATGTGAGGATACATTGCACGCAGGTTGCATAGCATATATTTGTACACCTCTGTTGTAGCAGAAGCCAGGATTTGTGTGTGAATGTGAGATGATCGTGGGAGTATCGCACGATATTCTTCACATTGTAGCATGAAATAATCTGAAATTCTAGGATAGGGTTATACGGACAAGCGACATCGGCTCAACATGTTTTAATGATATATTGAGATCGAACTTGGGCTATTCTCGTTTTGTAGATGACGAGTTCGAGTGGGCGATTAATTTCAATCACGTTTATCAACTTCTATCTGATATAATTCTCTTTTTCAATGTATAAGTGGGCAGGAAAACGAGTGAGAAAAATCGATTTATCGATTAAATTCCATAATCGTATCAAATTTTACAATATGATTACTTAATAAGTAATACTTATCATGTATACTCGGAATGTAGTTATTAATGATTTAAGTATGTCAACAAACGATTCAGAGAAAAATCACTTCTTTTTAGCATCAGAAGTTTTATATGCGCACGCCGCGGATGCGGTGCAGCGCGAGGCGTTACCGCAAATGAGCGATCACAAGTGTCGTTTACGGAGAAAAGTCACTCGTCTTTATTTATAAACATCCTGTAGGCGGCTCGTTTTCCGTAAACTAAAGAAAATACTACGCTTCCCGGTTGAGGTTTATTCCCACAAATGAGGCTCCAATCAAAACTTGTCGAGGGAAACAAACGATGGACTCTTCATCACTGCTTATAATCTGTTTACTCAATTCGTCAAGAGAAGGGAAATACAAAATACTAACGAGTCAACCCGATCACGTGCATGTTATTAGAGAAATTCGATCATACTCGCCAAGTCAAAAATTCTAAATAGATATGCACTAGCGGAAATGCTAAGTAGGTGCTTATTACTACTTGACAACTAAGTTCAAACGAAGCGCTTCTTCCACAACGTAAACATCTCTTTCTCTCTCGCACACACACACACACACACACACACACACACACACACGATACCGCAGTTTTTTTCGTGGATAATTTAAATATGGCTCTTTTTAATATCATCAATCGTATATATAAGTTATTGTCACTCAAAGGATCAAACAATTTCAAATCATTATCAAAATCAAACTAATAATTTGAATTGCATAGAACGAAGCTATTATTGGTACAATATTTTTAGAAAATTAACACATTTTTTATCTGCTAAAAAAATGCCAGTAGTTTCTAAGACTTTTTTTCCTCTATCTCTCAAAGTGAGCGTTTTTCATGTACAGGGATTACGTCTGATCAAACATCCGCGTTTGCTTGACAGAGAGTCGCATCCTTATTCCCCTTTTTCTCGTTTGCATACGTAAGGACACATCTATTGCCACGAGCCTGCACACATAACGCTGACGTTCTTCTCCACAGAGGATTATCTCTCTAGAGAGAGAGAGAGAGAGAGAGAGAGAGAGAGGCAGACAGAGGGTGTAGATTTAACGCAGATGTAGTGACACCTGCATCAAACTCACACAAACTTATGTTAATACATATATGCTGCACGCAAACTTTTACTTTTGATTCAAATTCTTTGCATCATAAGTATTATGTTGGAACAATTTTTAAAATTGTACTGCTCTAGTTTCACCTTGTACGAGCGCCTGTGAAAGATACGCGTAGTTTTCTCGCAGGGATTTGTACGATTTACAAATGGTGTCTTCCAACGAAGTGTCAAAAAGTATAATCACTGGGAGATGGCCGATTTTGGAGATCTCGTTGAAACAATGCCTTTCTTATAAAATTTATGGGGGTTTCTCATTGTTGTTTTTTTATTTCGTTCATCTACCGTTTATCTCATTGATGGGTTTGTATGCTTACTTACAGTTGTCTCGTTTGTTTACCCATTTCCCCGGTATTAAGGTCGAATACCTATGACTAATTTTAAACTCAAACGACAAAATTCCCTCAAACCAAATAAGCGATTTTTTTCAGAAATTTTAATCGATAAGTTATTTTCATAAAGATTTTATTGTGTGAGAAATATAGTACAATTGTTTTTTGACAGAAATTTGTATACTTGCCCATTCAGCACTTGACCTCGAAAGGTACCTCTCGTGACTTTTCTATGCTTCAAGCCATTGTAATCGTGAGATTAAGGCTAGACTACATCATTGTTCTTGTATGAATATGCGAAGCAGTTGTCTTTTTTATTCAAAAAAGTCTCTACACTCTCGAATAATTAATATTTTCTCATGCTGGAGAATTTAAACAGTCAGCTACAGGGACTATTTGATTGTCCGAAAATTTGCAATTTTTTCTCAGGTTCTAAATATCGAATTTTCCTCACAATAGCGGTCATCAATGAGTTGGGGTATAGCCAGAGACTTTTCGAACGCTCACAGCTTTCGATCTCAATAAACTCATAAAAATTACATGTATTTCATAATAGGGGAAAATATACTGAAAGTTATGCATAGTTCATGCACGTCGAGTGCAGCGCTATATAATTTGAGCGAAGAATGATGAATTGTGTGCACAAAAGGGTCGATCTATTGAACAAAGATCGAAAAAAGATGCGATCGTTTGGTGTAGGAGAAAGGGTATAAATGTGTATATGCATTGAATAGCCGTTTAATATACGTGTTTTGCCGTTCGATGTGTCATGGTATTGCTCGGCTATAGGTAAAGTACTCTGCAATTATCTGGCAGACACGTGTCCGTTGCGGCTGTGGCACGCGCATTTCCGTCGATACTTGTATTGCCATAGAGTTTTTGCAATAACCAGGCAGGCGCGCGCACTCGCCTGTGCAACTGTTCGCTCTGCACAACTTTTGTTGTACGATATCAAATTTTATTTTTCAACTTTTTTATTTTTACCAAGTACTTATATTTTTACGCTCTTATATGCGCGTTCGTATTCCGCAAGTGTTTTCTGCGCACGTATCTACGTAGTTTCATTAACGGCAGTGGCACGCTTCGAGACCAACTTTACAACAATTATTTCAAGTGCGACAAGTGCATTTGGTAATTGTTTTTACCGATCATTTCTACCATAATGTCGATTATGAATTTTTTCTTAGTCGTCTTAATATCACGTAAGTTTATTAAATGATTAAGTTGATGAACTATTATTATTTTCCTTTTCGTTATAGTAAGATCGGCAATCCAAACGAGCTCGGAGCCGATTTATGGCAAAAACGTCCAAGTCGTCGACAGAAAACAGTATGAAAAATTAACCTTTGTCGTATCATTGGGCAGGTTATCGCATGATGTGGAGGGTGCTGAAAATCACTTTTGTACCGGGTCTCTGATTTCAAGAAGACACGTATTGACTTCGGCTCATTGCATGGACGATGAAGACATCGACGATATTGTAGTGACTATAGGCACGAACGATCTGAGGAATGGCTTCAAGCACAGTCTTGGATCAGTACACATTTACGCGGACTGGGCTATGGGAAATAATGAAATTCCCGATGAATATTTGGATGACATATGCATTCTCAAAGTAACTTTTTCTCACTGCTCGATCTCAACGAGCTCTTGGTAACTTTTTGAATCGGTCTATCTTTTAAGCTCAAGGAGAGGGTTCGCGATGAAAGAATTGTGCCAGTGAGCCTCAAATATGACGTACTTTACGTCAAGCAGACCGTCACGTTGGCAGGTTGGGGAGCTTCTGATAATGATAAAACGATACCTCGGTTCATGGAGACTATATCGCTGCCTGTTCAACCGATGCAAGAGTGCAATCGCAAATTAGAAAAAATAGTAGATTATAAAGTGGTAGAATTACCCATGCTCTACCTGTGTACATTTACCGATCCTGAAGCTCTACTAAGATGTGTAAATATTTCTACAAAATTTTGACAACAAAAGAAGTTTTAAACAAGTATCATTTTCTATTAAATTTGATTATTTGGTTTTGTTATTGCAGGGCGATAGTGGAGGCCCGGTCTTGAACGAAAACAATGAACTGATAGCTATCAATGATGCGACTTGTCCTTTGGAAAATAATCATCCGGGCCTTGTCAATTTGCACGTCAACGTTTATTTCTACAAAAAATTCATCGAAGCTACGCTAAGGAATGAAAATTAAATTTGACGTGTAAAAAATTACTTTTGGCCTACCTCAGACTTGATGTGAGTAAATTAACTCTGGCCGTACTATTAAACTATTCGTACTCATTCCACTTTTTTTATTAATACAATGAGCTTGACATAACGTTAACAGGGTAAGATTTTACAGAGTTGATCGTGCACAAATGCCAAATTTTTCTCTATGTTAATGTAGCCGAAAAGTAGGATCATCAATGTTTTCAATCACTCGTCAAATCAAATTCATTTTTCGTTAAAAAGTGAAAACAAATATTTGCTGATGTATGTTTAACCTTGGATTAGGAGTAAAATAGTTTCAGCTTGTAATTTAAGCATCGAATCACTACATTTACGATATTACGGTAATAAGATGCTCCAATACGCTGGCCGCATATTTCGAAAAAAACTTTTTATTAAAGAATATAGAGTCTCAAAGTGAAAGGATTGCGACTCGCGATGACGTCAAATTTCACTGTACATCTTAAAAATAATATATATAATGTGAGTAGCTTAAACCCATCTTCTTAGATAAGAATCTGTTTTTTATAACTCTCGACCCGGGCTGAGACGTCTCGAAAAGAAAATCGATCCATTTTTCCTTGCTTTTTTATTGAAACGAAATCGTCACTTTGAATCGATAAAGATCGCGTAATCTTTAATCCTCAAGTAAAGAAATGTATGTAGGCCCGGTTGTGCAAAGCTTAATTTAATACATGTTCAATAAATTCAATATCCGAGTGAACGAGTTTTTTTTCAAAATCTTTGTGGATCTAAACCCGAGTTTAGGAAGATTCATTTGAAAATAGACTATTGTCATTCAAAATCTAATTTCATTTACAAAAGCGAGCTCAAAGAAATTTCAAATAAAAGAAAACAATTAGGCGATTAAAAACCACATCCGCGAGTGTTTTCAGTCTGACACACAAAACTCCGGCGATTCTAATTCCATCTAATCCTCGAGACCACCTCTTTGAAAAAAGAATAAGCCGTTTTATACTGCTATGAATAGATTGAAAGGAGTATCAATTAAAAAGTTTGCTTAAAATGAAAATTACGTATACCCTTTTTTCTATAATATTTAATTAACGCGTTCTGCATTTATTCATCATTGATTAGAAGGTTTTTTATAAACGGTACATGAAAAGATCGCTTTAGCTCAGCTGCTATACGCACGTTCGACTTTTTTTATCTGTGTGTGCGAGAACGCATACTTGAAGATGGGAAGAAAAATATTATACGTGCCCGCACAGATGCGCTATTCAATGTTATATATCATTAGGATAGAATTATGATCGACACGTGCTGAGATAATTAACCAGATTGATACAATGGAGAATATTGAGGAAGTGGTCTGAAACCTCTTATCATGCTTTAAAGATACTTATTGCGTTGTATTTTTTTGAGTAACGAAATGCTTCAAAAACTTTTTTTAGTAACCCATAGAAGGATTGAAAAGAAATTCCATGAAAAAAATTGATTGAATTTCACACTTAGCAATGACGCAAGGTATCATATCACGCAATGATGATGATGGTTATACAACGATTACCGCTGAATTATTCAGTCGAATGGCTTGCAAATCTGTTATTTTAATATTCATCCGTAAAATGAAAACTTTTTTTGTGCAGTGCAATTTTATATACTACAACTTTTTCAAAAAAAACGTATGTTTGACTTACATAGTGTAAGTGCTACCGTCAGTCCAACAGTGCAAATGAGTTTTATGATGTTTGAGTAAAGTAATGAAATGTAACAGCTGGGCTGAAAGGCCAGGTAAAAAGATACCGATCGCAAAAACGTATAGCAAAGAGAATGGCATGAATGTTGATTGACGAAATATGACGAGTTCAACGAAAAGAAAGACATAAAGAACTCGATGAGTCGGGTTTATCAATCAAAGAAACGCCTGCAGTCGGGTTGAGCTCACTTAAATATACGTACGAATGGTCTGGTTGGAAGTCAAGATCGAAGATAATGCGCAATTTTAATTGTCAATATAATTATTGATTTCTTTTTATCGGTGCATTTAATACTATAGATAAATAGCCGATAACGAGCTTATATTTTAACAAAAAGTTAAGGTTTAAAGAACTGTTATTAGCATTGCCAACGGACATCTGCAATAGTTGAATTGATATAAAAGAATTTTAATACGAAATTGAATTTATTGCCATTTTCCAGGAATATTTATTCTTGTTGAGAACGCGCGTTAACTACTCCATAAATACTTTACTTTAATTTGTATCATCTTTTTAAAACAAAAAGAAAACGTTTTGATCTCAATTAATAGCTTCTTTAGCAAGTCTGGAGTTAACGGATTTGCCTGTAAAACAGACTAAGTTTACATATTTAATATTCTAATGAATCCAAATGTTTGACTTGACATAACACAACTTTTAGTTAACTCTCTTTCTCTCTCTGTAGAATCTCGTACAATAAAGTAGTTCAAAAAATGCGTACAGTGAGACACACATGATTTTATGGTATTTACGGAAAAAAAGAAAGAGTTTTTCCACTTTTGGCACGCGTGGGCACACGAGCTAACTTCGAGGAGCAGGAGCAGGTGAGGCTAAGCGGACTCGACTTTCAGCTGCTGCTTGTTGTATGCTCAAACTTGCGATCATATTCATCATCGTCATTAACATTTCTGTTTCAATTTACCTTCTACCTCTCGGATAATGTATCGCTAATTGAACATTCATATTTTCATGAATCACAAGGGATTAATAGGGCATCGAAAGATTGGCAAATACCACACGAACAGAATATCTTTTCACTTTTGAGCAATGTGAAAACCTTCTACTACCGTATATTTACGCTTACGAGATTTGTATGTATAGTTTAAATCAAATTTAATACTGACTATTGAGTTTCTAATTAAGAACACAGATTTATTGCGTGACAATTATGAGAAAAGATATAAGTATGTAAAATGTTTTTTCTCTGCTTCTTGGATAACATTGGTCGAGATAATTCACCCAATAGCTTGACATGTTATAAGAAATAGAGAAAAGATTTTTGACAGTATTATAAGCAATAAATTGAAAATCTGTGTAGGCACTCAGAATTATACCTAATGTTTCATATGTTTTTTTCATTTTTATTATTATTATTATTTTTTTTAATAAATACTTCAAGTTACACTACAAAAAAAAGTCAAATTCTTCTCAACCTGTATATAATTTTATTAAAACCACTTGAATCATGAAAGTGAAAATGATTTTGAAAAACTTTTGCTTGTTTCAAAAACGCTTATAAATAAATTGCATTGACTTTAAACACGACGAATTTTACAATAATCTAGAATTGATTAAGAAAGTCAATCCACCGTTTCCAAAAGAACAAGCTTTTTTGAAACAAGCAAAAGTTTTTCAAAATCGATTTACTGTCTGAAGTTTGATATTGATTAGATAAATATTGTAATTCGCGTGGATTATAATAATGAAGAAAAATGAAACTATTGTTTTGAAAATGAACTATTGTATTGAACTTATTATTTGAACGTATATCGATGAAACTATACACCAAAAAAATGTTGTGTACACACAACAAAAGTCGCAATTGAAGCTATAAAAAAATATTTTAGCCGAATCAACAATATTCTTAGTTGACATAAAAAAATTAATTTTTGTGGCCCTAACAACGAGTTTTGCAGTATGCATGGTGGTATTTTAACTTGTACGTTTGGTGATTATAATTCATAGAGATAACTGAATTACTGATTAATATTAATTAATGAATATCAATTAATTAATACTTGATAGCTAAAAAAATGTAAGTTTCGTCTAATTTTCAAAAATATATCTCAATGCCGTTGAACTAGGAAAAAACAAAGCTTTGATTTACTAAACATTGTGAACATTTAATGAGACACATTAGAACACAATGTTTTCAAAGTATGATTTCAATTAAATTACACGTTGGGTTAATATGAAACATTAATACATAATCTTTAGAAAAGATCTTAAAAGTTAAACACTGAATCAGAAATGAATACATTTATTCATAATTAGTAGTTCTGTTATAATTTAATTTTTAATAGTAGAAAGAAAATAGTCTCCTAGCCCGTAAAAAAGTACTTATTTGTTTACATTTAGAGTAGCAAGAATGACGAATTAATCCGTCATTCAATAAAAAATATACTAGACATATTGCATGAGAAAAATCAGTTCAGGTACCCTTTTCCAAGTCAGGATCATAAACAGAGAAAGGAGAGGTACACCTGTCATAAAAATGAAAATAATTATCAATACATGAAAACAAAAATGAAAATGAAGAAAACAGGTAGTATCATAGATAGTATCTTTGATTGAATTGATTGTAGCAATGATACAACTTCAATACGAATGAAAGAGTAAAAAAATTGTTACTTACTATTTTACTTAAGACATGAATGTGGCCAGTTTCTTTTGAGTTCGAGAAGAAACACGATCGATCTCTTTTCGTGAAATTTTGGAAACAGATGTGATTCATTAAAAATTCTTTTATTCGTCAAAATGAGAGTAACAAAGGGCAGGGCATGAATCGGTAGGCATAACAACATCTTGCGCGGCGGTGGCGGACCAGTTGACTACGCAATATCGCGCAGATGCATCGAGTTGGCAGTACGTGAGTGGTGAGCTGCTACAACCTACGCGTAGTAATGTATTGCGTATACATTCGCTTTTCGTATCGTAACTTCCGTTTGAAAAGTCAAGGCAAAGGGGTTGTACCGCCACAAAGAGATTCACACTCGTACACGCACGCCAAAAGACTGGGTCACGTTGTACATTGTGTGCCTGTATAAACAAGAGATAATACAAAAGTTAGCTCTGACCTCTTTGATATAGGCCACAAGTTGCCTGACCACATCGAGCGCAACCGATGAAATAGCGGCTTGATAATTTATAGCCCGTCGCGCACAGCTGATGCGCCTCGTCGTTCAGTCAGTTTCTTTTGGAAGAAAAGGGGTTTCTCGGCATAGACAAAGCTCTGTATACAGATGAATGCAACGATCCTCGAGCTCGACAATTTCTTTCTGCGTCTTTGCTCGGTATACTCTTCACACTTTTGGCGCTATAGATGACGCTCAGTAGTTGGCACATACAATATATAGACGCGCAGCGACAAAATAACAAATTGCGCCTGCGTTTCTAATCCTTGGATTTTCTGCGGCGAGCTGTTAATCTCGTGCTTTGCTTCAAATTCGGCCTCTGTGCGGGCAGCTATATTATGCACACACACACACACACACACACACACACACGCACACGCACGCACTCGATTGAAGAAAATGCGACTCTCAAGTAAATATATACGTATTTACGTACGGCGAAACCCTTTGAGGCTTAAATCTCTTTGCTTGCAGAGATGTTTATTATATGTACGTGTGTGACGCAATTGAGTCAGCTTCGCGCCAGTGCGCACCCCTTTGATGCAGGGCGCGTGTACAATAAGAAACGATTGAATAGAAGCAGCGACGAGACTGCAGGTCCACCGCAGTCTCAATAAAGGATATAAATCGTATACATATATAATATATATGTTGACACAAAGCCGAAGCCAAGAAAGATGAAGGAAAAAAGGTTGTTTACTCTCTCAGCGGCTTTTCTCACTGCTTATGTATACATATAGCGACCAAAGACGATGAAGTTCATATGATTTGATTGTTGTCGCGCGATCTCGATCGGTATCTGTGTACCGATCGTAATATCGTGCAGAGATTATTTGTTTTGCGGCTCGGCTCGATTGCTCCTTTATTGGCTATGTCGTGCATTTTAGCCGAAGAAAAACAATAAATATGAGTATATCGAGAAAATCTATATGGAATTCGTCACAGCGGGTGAATGAAAAAGAAGGTCTTTTGGACACGAAAGTGAAAAATTGTATCGTTCAGTAGTTACAGCTTATTATTGGACGACTAACTCAAATCCCTGCTAATACTCATGATTAGCGAGAAAGTACTCTTGCAGCGGTTGCGGCGGTATCGACAATTGATAGACGAGCAACGTACGCGTTTTTCGCCGCGAAACTTTCAATATAGCTCGACAAAATCGAGGCCCTGTGAATAGTCTTACGCATCAATGGGCGCAGCCAGTAGGCGCATTTTTGGTTTTAGTGCATCAGCAAAACTCAATCGGCCGCAATCTAAGTAGGAAAAACTTTCCGATCGAATTGCTTCTTCGGTTGCGCGTATACCTGCAGCGATATTTCAATTCGTGCGCTGCTGCGGTGATGGCGTGCGGCGTGGCTCCAGCAGCGCAACAAATCCGCATCCTGTGGCGCGACCAACTTCGGAAGAAGCAGAAGAAGAAGCGCATATTGTCGCCTCGCCTCGTTGTCCACTCGAATACGTACGTAGGCGGATTACGCCACCGCGTATGTAGCATGCGCACCAACACATACGTCTATGTACGATCGCGTTTCACGAGCTGCCACCTCTGAATGACCCGCGTAGGCAGCTCCATTAGCACAATAAGTAAGATTCTTAAAAGGCCTAAAAAATATTGCAAGTAACGCGAAAATCATGCGCCGATTTTTTTACACGAGCAGGCTTTAATATCGGGTTGCTTAGGATTGAAAAAAGAATTTCATCCAAGTGACTCAATACTCACACCTGATTCTCGAATATGCGCATCCCATACTGTGACGGAGTGAAAAACTCTAAGAAGAGAGAGAGAGAGAGAGAGAGAGAGAGAGCAAAAAGAGATTATAAATTGGACGGATGTTAATGTTAAAGGATCCGAAGACATACATATAATATGTAACTTATCGGTATTATGATCACGAAAGCTCGATTGCGGTAGATTTCGTCTCAATGGCCAATGATCGGCTCTCCATGAGCGATCGGTATCGCTGCATTTCCTACATCACGTTTAGTGGTAACTATGAGGTCTCCTCGTTGATGCGTATACTAGCGTTAAATTTTATCCGTGAGAAATTCGATAATTTTACATCTAAATGAAATCGTCGATAATTTGCGGCTTAGGTAAAAAAATTGTCGTACGAGGAATAATGTCAGCGCGACAATGTATACTTCCGCCGCTTCGAATTCAATTCCTGTCACCATGTACATTATGTACACGCGTATGACCGCTGATCTCTATACCTCTTTCAATTGAATTCCATTTCACACATGTGCGTGTAATACTCTTTTAATCGAAGCAAAGCGACAAATTACTTAATCCGATACTCACATATCTCGGCTCGCATCCTTTGGGTAAATTAAGACACATCCAGCTAATTTGAATGAAAATATGTCTCATTGAAGCCGAATCTGTAGGCGGCGATATAATCGATAGAATGTGCTACAACACTCCTTTTCTTTTCCGAACAAAAAAAGAGAAAAATTTCGATTGATTCTTAGAGAAATCCTTTACGAGTCCGTTCTGTTACAGTACCAGATGAGTACCCGCAAGGGATACCACATTATAGTTTCTATCTGGCTTCAACATTGAAAAAGTCCCATGTTTTCTCGACCACCTGGAGATTTCTTTTATTTTATGCATATAGATGTGTTAACGCACAAAGCTGATTCACGGATTAAAAAACTCTTTGAAAAAAGGTTACGTCGCGCTTTGGTCAGAACTCTGGTCTTTAGCACATCGTTGATTGATGTTATATTTAGAAAATCGTAATTGATCTTTCATGATACCGAGCTAATCCCAAATGGGTTTAAAGCGATATATAACAAAGAGAAGATAGTGTCATTTTAATTTTCGTAGTATAATGATCACTCCAAATCAAAAAACTGAATTGGGGAAATCTCAGTGATTTACAGAATATCTGACTCATCATTAAAACATAACTGTAGTGCACATTATATTATTCAGAATGAATTTTAATATAATTGACAGTTTACGTCAACTTTCTAAGCGCAGCACCCTAGCTACTACATTAAAAGACGAAATTGCAACATTTCTACCTCGCCAAGTACTAAATACTCCTGGGGGGGGGGGGGGGGGGGGNTATAGTTATTTTTTATAATCTTCGCATCGCATTGAGATCTTTTTTCATAGATTCGGTAAAAATAAGCTAATAAAGCTGAAGTAAATACTAAAGAACAACACTTCAAGAGTATACCGTTAAATTTTCGTGGTAAAATACTAAAAAATAAGCTATGACCTTTAGCTTCTAGAGTTTTACTTTTTCAAGTTTTTTTCCTTTTTAGATTTTATTTTTTTTAAATAATAAAATATTTTGCTTATTGTATTGTAGGTAGGCTAAAAAAAATTAAAAATACAATATTCGAAATTATCAATGTTTCAAAAAATCTGTTTACATAATTAGAAATTTCAGAAAAAACAAATCGAAACCTTATGTTACTTATTTTTCAAAGAGCATTTCGAGGCTTTCCGTAAAGTTAGAAATTCAGTAATTGCGCCTAATAATGCCGCGCGGGCGTCGCACTCGGAAAGTTAACGTAAAACGCCACATACGTAATTTGCGATAAATCAATCAAATGGTAACTTAAAATTATCGATGAACAATCAAGAATTGGACTCATAACCCTTTATCCGAACAATTCTGAATGATAAAATAAAAGTTAGAAAATTCAAATACGTCTTTTACATTTGCTTTGAATAATTACTTTCTCAATTAACACAAAAAAGAATTATTTTTTCAAATAAAAATGAGTTGATTGAAGAATTCATCTTTATGACTTATGACCCTTTCTGAAAAAAAGAATAATAAAAAGTATCCGAATAAATAAATATTAATTTAAAATGAATCACCGAAGGGTGACGTGTGCATTATTTGTACTGCTTGAATCACTCTTATCTCATTATTGACTAGATGTAAAAAGCTGATGGCACTGCGATATTTTTCCCAGTAATTTTCTTAACTTTGCGCGAGACAGAACCCGCAGCGATTTGATCTGTGCGCTAAGGTTTTTTTTGCGCATCAATTAATCAACTATTTCCAGCTCAGATAATTTTATCGAGTTGCAACATGATCGGTCTGTGGAGGTGCCTAATCATTTCTCTAATCGCAGTGCATATGGTGATACCAGGTACGTAAACAGTAGGCTACTCATCGTCATACAGTGAAAAAGTGCCTTCTACTGAAAGAAATCGATTTTAGGTTCTGCATTTAGATGCTACGAATGCAACAGCCGGGTAGATCCGGAATGTGAAAATAAACCACCGAAAAATTTCACCCAAGATTGTTCGAAACTCATCCTTCCGCGTTCATCGACTTTGAATACATGGAAATGTGCCAAAATAATATTATGTGAGTCCGACATAGCTTTTTTAACATATTCGTGAAAATGGCATGGCTGAAACGATGAACTTTGATTTTTAGCAAACGTAACGAATCACGAGAAGGATTTAGTCGTCATTCGTAAATGCACGAAAAAGCACGACGTTTGCGAACTGGAACAATTGAAAGAAGAGCACAGTATAATCCAGGCTTGCGCGATATGCTCAGAAGATTCTTGCAATTCTTCTACCATGACATTGGCTGGCTTCACGATACTGTCGATCTGTTTACTCACGAGCTTCGCTGGAAAATTTATATCGTGAATTAATCTCACGCGCGATAAAACAATATTCGCTTTTGTTCATTTGTATAGCATTAAAAAATAAATATTTTAATGTATTAATTGATTTTAATGTCTCGAAAATCTGTACTTGGATACATCTTTGGTCCAATCAAGCATTCATTAGTTTCCAAAGCTTTCGTAAAATTGTACACTTGCAAAAGGGATTAAATAAATACATTCTTGAATGGCTACGGTAGCAACGATAATCTAAATATTACGAAGGCGTCACCTATGAATGATTGGCAATACAAGTTCAACCGCAGCGAAAAGTCGCTCTGCTATCTTCGTTATCGACACAGTCACAGCAGAATCGAGATTGAAGATATAAATCGTTATGCTTCCTCCATAGAGGAAGCTATAGTGACGGGTTTGAATATCAGTTTTTGAACCAAACCTCGTAGGAAAATTTGGTTTACATATTTGTAAACTAGATGGAATTCCTAACACATGACAGGACGATGAATTTTTTTTTAATTAAATTGCATTTATTGTCGAATGTTTTAAGAATGAAGCCCGTTATATTTTTTTTATCAATGCGAAAAAAAAAATTTTCTAATTTTTTTTCAAGTTTCAAAAAAAATTTTTTTTTGTTTTCTTATAATTTGACACATTTATGAAAAATTTAATCATTTTAAATTTAATTTAATCATTGACAGTTTGAAAAGGTAACATGAGATGCAGGTCACCTAAAGTCCTGAAAAATTTTTTGTGGTCTCCTGGTACCTAATAATGAAGTCCCCTATGCTTAGTCTTAGAAAGTCTTAGAATTAGTCAAAGATTACATCTGAATTTTTTCAGAATTTTTGAAACCTGCTATCACCTATTTTCAAAGATCTCTGAAATTCTTAAGAAAAACGTAAAAACGTGTCAAATTTGGGCCTTTGAAAATAAGTGATAGCAGGTTTCAAAAATTCTGACCAAATTCAGACGTATTTTTTGACTAATTCTAAGACTTTTACATTTTTTATTTCTTCGTTTAAGACATCCTGTTACGGTTAGAAAACGACAAAAATTTTTCAATAAATTAGAAAATCATTTTTAAAATGGGCCCTAAGGCCTATTGGATCAAACTAAGCATAGGGGGCTTCATTATTATATACCAGGGGAAAACGAAAAAATTTTCAGGAAATTTGGTGACCCGCATCTCCTGTGGTCTCTGTTAGACACCTTTCAAACAAAATCGGGAAACAAGCCTTTCTCTTTCTTCCATTATCTGGTTACTTACAGTTTTATGCTATGGGTTGTTAATTATAATTGCAGCTATAATATTGAAAGTTGATCCGTTTTTATATATCCAATTTATAAGTAATTATTAATCGAGTGGTCATTTATTGTCTGGTAGTCAATAACTAGCTGGTTAGACCTATACGTTTTTGTCTAGTGCTGCTGCTTGCAAAGGTACAATCCCTGTTTATGTAAATTGTTGCACACCCGTTCTCAAATGAAACTCTATTCATCTTGCCAATAATATAAACTGTCGTGCGGGCAAGCACGAAACTTTTTTCGTTTTAGGCGTAAGCTCAAAGATTGATCTTCTTTGTTCACCGTGTCTTTGACGAAAAAAAAAATTTTCCAGCTTCTTGACTTCTTATGATACAGATTTATGCTCGTGCACAGCAGCAGCAGCAGTAGGAATCTGTTTATACCTCGGCATAATGGCAAATATCATATATATTTAAAAAAAAACGGATGAGCCGCTGCTAATTGACATTCACGATCTCGAAAACTGAGACTTATTGCTTAACACGAACTTATTTTTCATATTTTACAATTTCAGGTGTTTCATTGACTACCGGAAACGAATTTTCCAGAGGGCTGCGCAAGCGTGAAATCGTACAAAAATACCATGGGTTGCATGCCAAGTACAATGAAAAATCAAAGAATATATTCGAATAAAGAAGATCAAGCGCAATTTGCCGTAGTACCTGCATGATTTTTACTCGATCCTCTAAAGAGTTTTCCACATTTACTTTTCAAGCTTCCGAATCGCTGCCGACCAAAAGATATTTTTTATTCAATTTATTGAATAGCAAAACATGTTATATTTCAGACAAGTCACGATCGATTTGTATTTCTTATGAAGCTTCGTACATTTTTTTATTATACAAACCGGATCGTTTTTTTGTGACTGAGTAATTATTATTAAATAAATATATGCGGCTGACGCAAAATATTTTCGACGCTCGCTCAATTGAACTTGACGTCAAATTTCGATATACTACAGGCTGGGGCCACCGCTATAGTGAGATTTTCGAGCTGAACCAGCGTAAAGCGACGATTTTTCTAATCTTTGTACATTATTTATACCTTCAACAATTTTACTATCCAGTTTTCAACTTTCCTCTCGAAATAAATTGCTGAACATAAATAGTGAAAACAAAACGATTTCACCTACCTTAACGTACAAAGGTTTAAACTAATTTTTTCACCGAAAATCGACTGACAAGCATTTGTATGTGAGCACAATGAGTCCCGATATTTTGATTCAAATATTAATCGATGACACGCGAATGATCGAAGATATTGTCTGCTCGGGGTCCATGTCGGAAAAGGTGACACTCGAATCATGAATTTAAAAATTTTTCGCTATTATGTTGGAGTGAAAAGTATTATGTATGGCGTTTGACTTCCATTAACCATTCAATAGATCACTCGCTTTCTTTAACAAAATAAGGAGTAAATCTTGAACAGTTACAAAAGAGGTTGACGCGTGTGCGCAGCGCACGACTAAATCAGCTGCCTCCATGAATTGAGAGTTTACAGTAAGTTTATACAGGAGGTTCTTAATAAAAATTATCATTATAACATCGGGCCAATATTCATCGACAGTTGGGTCCAGCGTTTCGATTCGAGCAGTTTGAGCGATCCCGAATGGAGATCATTGCAAATTACAATGGATCGATCAAGTCATGAATCGAGCTACTCATGCGGGTTAATTCGTAAAAAAAAACAGAAGCAAACAAAGCACGGCTTAGTTTCGATTTCAATGATTTTCAATCTTCGCATTGCAATTAAAAAAAAGATCAGTCTGAAAAAGTGTAGAGTTCACTCGAGGGTCAAAAGAGCTGTATCACTCGATATTTTAGTAAGTGTATACGCAAATCAAATAAATATGCTCGTTAGGATAAGTAAGGACACGAGCGCGACTAGCTAAGTAAATATTTTTTAAGCCAGCACGAAAAAGGTGAATATACGAGAGAAAAAATGGAATTATCTTAGTTGGCGTACAAAGGCTTTTTATTGGCACGTTACTTAGAGCTCGACGAAAAAGTCTGTACGTATATTATAACCTAATGAAAAGTATTGGGTATTTTTTCGCGATGATCCAGAGCATTCCCCGGGCCAGAATAAAGGAGAAGATAATATAAGCGTCAAAGAGACGAAGATGTGCCTCGTCATTACATTGTGTATCTATGCGTATAGGAATAATAATAAAGTCTTAGAGTGTGTGTGTGTGTGTTCGTGTGTCTTCTCTGCACCCCCGTACGTTTACTCATATGGATGGCCCTAGTAGAATTGCGGAAAATAGAGAGTCTATAGAGAAGGGAGCGAAGTAGCGAGTTATACTAGTCTGTGCTGCTTTTGTATTGCCACGAAGATGTTTCGGAGAATCGAGCGATCATCAGCACCGATGACGATGGTTGCGCGCAATACTAGACTCGAGAGCAGCAGCGACAGAGTCGAGACACGGCAACCTATATGCACGTACGTAGGGATACATTAGTCGAGGCATTGACGTCTCAAGAGGCTGTTGGCGCGACCAAACTCGCGCCGGATTCTTCTTACTTATATTATTAGTAAGGGGTGCGAAAAACGTCCAAGATTTTTTGATCCTATCCGAGACGATAAATAGGCCCGATATGCCAATTAATCGGGCTACGTCCATCAATCGCGTCGCGAGAGGAATTTCCCTCAAAATTGTCCTATTTGATTTTGGGATCATTCGCTGCTCACCATCGAGCTCGTGTACTAATCGCTGCATCTGAGCAACCTCAACCCTCCCTCGCCGTCATAGTCAATCCAAAATCCAAAAGTCAACATAGACAATAGTTCAAAACTTTTAGTGTCGAGCTCTTTACGTTCTAATTTTCAAAACTAGAAGATGCAACGTGTGTTACTCCTATAAAGTGTACAGCACGGATTAATCCGTGTTGAAGTTAAACTAGAAAAATGATTAATAATCTCCGATTGTCTCTTTCTTTTTTTACACAGCTCACAGTTTAAACAAGCCGTTCCGAGAAATCCAAAGTGACGAAGGGTTTTCTTTCTATTCTCCTTTTCTCTTTTTGTTTACGATGCACGAAAGAGTGTACGTATGTGTGTGTGTGTGTGTGGCGCGACGATAAATCGTAAAAAAGGGAATTTCTTGACTTTCTTTCTACAGGATGCAGGTCGATTTTTAGCAGTTCCTTTGATGTCAGAAGAAGAACGAAGAAAGTCGTGCGGGAGATTTGAGTAATGTCCTCCACTTGGAGCATGGGTGGAGTCGAAAAGCCATGTGAGTTTTTTCGATAGTATGCGTCGATGGTACGTATAGACTGGCACACACTACGAGGCTCACACAAGCATACCCAAATACACATAAACCTAAGACGCATATAAATTTTTCATCGATGGACGAATCGAAAGTGTATATCCTGCAGAGCCAGTCAGGGTTATAAATAGACTCTTGGTCTGTTCAGATTATGGGAAAATGTCACTTGAATCAAACATCCTTGTTTGAGCGATTGTATAACCCCATGAATCAGGCAAGTCGCTCTATGTATTAATTGCCATAATCTTTCGTTAGGTATACACATACTGCAAGAACTGTAAAAACTTGAGTTTACAGCTTCCTTTCCTTCCAGATTTAATTACATAAAAATTAATTAATAAATCAGCCGGAAATCCTGACCATGCAGATATTTTCATCGTACAATTATTTTCACAAGTAGATAATAATAGTCACCTTGGGAAATAGCCTAAAGGAGAGAAAGCGCGGAATTTTACAAACGTTTGCAGAAAAGTCGAGAATTTCCGACCAACAAGAGAAGGTAAAACAAAATGCAATGTCATCGGCGTGCGACCCCATCGTGATCGGGCAACATCTCAACTTTGGCGCGTCGAGCGATATACAAAATACAAATCTCTCTCGCATAATCGCAACGAATAAAGCGATGCGACGAGTGCGAGGTTTTTGATTTACTCGA